GCAGAGAGGTAGCGCTGCTTCAAGGACTGCCTAGAAAAAGCAACAAAACAGGATCCAGAAGGAAGTTCTCTGCAAGCAGGTCAGAGGATGTTGGACAGAATAGAGAAAAAGGGACAATGAGGGTGGAGAAGTGAGCAGGAGAGTTTAAGACAAGCAAAAGTTAAGAGGGGGAGAAAATAGCTGAAGGAGAAAGATGAAAATCCTTGGACAGATGAGTAGATTCTATCAACTGTCTCAAGTACTATTTTTGGCCTCTAGTTGTAGATACAACTCTGTTGGGCAGAAGAAAATTTCTTTGCCTACATGAATAAGAGGGTTTCAAAAAGTCAATTCAAATATAATCATAAATATTTCTAGATTAGTGTCTGCTTGGATGCTAAAACCAGTGGCAATGAACTTATTTCTGAGACAGCGCTAAGGGACCTATCTCTTTGCTACCATCTTGTTTGCTAGAAAAGATTCGGGAGTCTTTGCTCACATTCCAGAACTGCTCTCTCTGTCCCTTACGGGAGATGAGAATATATCCCAGTGGGCTTCTGGTGAAATTTGAAGGAGAATCTTCATGGTAAGCAAATCTTGTCATAGAGGTACACATGGAAAGGCAACCGTGGCTATGTCAGAATAAGGTTGGTCTGAGAACTACTTTGCTAAATTTTGATGATGATTCATATCTTTAAGACACAAGTCAATGGGCTTCAGTTATGAGTTTGAAGAAATATAGCATCATTATTAGCATCATTAATTCTTTCAACACATATTTGTAAACCACCTATTATAATTAAAGTACTGCTGAGCTATGGAAGGTACAAAAAAGTGCTATCCATCCCTTATCACAACCCATAAGTTACGCCAATTGTGTGTGGAAGTTTCTCCTCACTGTCTATTTCTGTGTTTTTTTGTTTGTTTATTTGAGGTTCTGAGGATTGAACACAGAACTTTCATACTGAGCTACATCCTCAGCCCCTTTTTAATTTTTTAAATTTTATTTTAAGACAACATTTCGTTAAGTTGCTTAGTTCCCCAGGGCTGGGCTCCAAGTTTGAAGCCTCCTTCCTCAGCCTCCAACTGTGCATCACCATGTCTGGCTGTAGGTTTCTTTCTTTCTTTCTTTCTTTCTTTCTTTCTTTCTTTCTTTCTTTGGTACCCGGGATCGAACTCAGGCCTTTGTGCTTGCAAGGCAGGCAGCCAACCCACTGAGCCAAAAACCCCTGGTCCAGGCTGTAGGTTTCCTCATGCAAATAAAAAAAAAAATCTTAATTTTATTGTATTTCACCTTGGATAGTTTCCGCCTTTGACTTCCTTTATTCTGTGTAAGGCGTTAAGACTGAGTCTTTATTATCATATACTCAAATGTACAGGGTCACGCAGGACCTCATATACTGCGGCAGTTGCACAAGGTTGTGTTGCCCCATGACAGCATAGCTGTTTCAGTTTGCGCAGGTGCTCTCTACAACCACATAGTCAAGAAACCGCCCCCTGATGCATTTCTCAGAGTGTGTCCTAGTTGTCTGAGTGAGTCAACACTGTACTTTGTGTAGTAGTTCAATTTCTAGGAACCTTGGTTCCTTCTCCTATACACAGGATATTGTCAAAATTAGATGTTAAATTGTTATAATTAGGTGGTTATGCACAAATGGTGAAATACAATCAGTACATTGTATCGATAGCTGTACTTATTATTATATATATGAATGCCTGTACTTCATTCTCAGCCAAGCTCGAAAGGATTCTCTTTGTCCTTCCCACTCTCGTACAATCAATTATCAGTATTTGGTAGCTCCAACTTGAAAGTGTTCTTCTCCTTTCTCATTTCGATTGCCACCTTCCTGATTTGTTTTCCCTTCTTATGGGATTTGGGCTACCAGCTAATTGTTGCCCACTGGGTTGGGCAACCAGGCAACTCATCCTGAAACATTCCGCTCTGTTTCTCCGTTTAAAATAAATGAATAACTTAGTACCTCCTCAGTGTCGTTAGTACCAGTAGTGCTATTCAGACTCTACCCAGTCAGATCTTTCTAATACAACTCTAGGGTGTGCAAAGGTGCAGCCTGACCCACTGAACTTCTGTCAAATTCTTTAAGCCTGTCTTCTAGATCCAACTTGTCCTTAGATGCACCTCAAAGAGTCTTCTCTTGACTAATTAGGTTGAACCTTTTCTCATTTCTTGTAGGATGTCTAGGGCATGGTATCATTTCTATAGCATTTATTTGGTACTGAAATATATTTGATAAATACTATAAAGTAATAGTTGAAGCAAAATAATTGAAATTAGATGGTTATGGTTTTTAAATTAAAAATAGAGCTGGGTATAGTTGTGCTTCCCTATAATCCTAGTACTCTGGAATCTGAGGCAGGAGAGTAGAAATTCGCAGAAGCCAGGCCAGTCTGGGGTATATAGTCTGAAGCTGTCTCAAAAAACAAACAAGAAAAACCAACTAAACCAAAAAGATCCACCTTGAGTAGAATTAGTTGTCCCTAGCCAGGTGTGGTGGTGCACACCTTTAATCTCTACACTCTGGAAGGCTGAACCTGAAAGCTTGCAAGTTTAAACCCAGCCTGGGCAATTTAGCCATTTAGTGAGGTTCTTCTTTTAAAAAAAAAAACAAAAACAAGAAAAACAAAACAAAACTTTAAACATTTAATAAAGTGTACAGATGCAGCTCAGTGAGAAGACCAAATTCAAACCCATATTGCAAAATTAAAAAAAAAAACAACTATTCTTAGTAATAATGTCTTGCAAGTTTACTTTCCTATTACAATATTCCTAGATGACAATAATCTCATATAGATGGTACCCTTTCCAACACTTTGCCCTGGTGAGTTTTTAATTAGATTTGCACTCAGAACTAATTGCTCACAAACTGATTTCTTATAGACCCTGTGTTGATTTCATCCTCACAATGTAAGGGACATGCTAGCTTACATTGTCTGTGATTGATATATGATTTGAGAATAGTTTTGTGCTCAACTTTTGATTAGGGTTGGGTTGATTAAAAAAGCTATTTATAAGTCAGGGTATGTATGCACATAAAACAATTGTTATTAAGTAATATGACATTATAATTACAATTAATAGTCCCTGTTGATGTGCTCCTACTAATAAGTGCCAAGCAGCTTGTTAAGAACAGCTTTGAAATGCTTTCCTAAGTGCCCTTGTCTTGCCAAATTTTTGCATAGGGATTGATGAAAACAGTAACAGTGCATCTACAGAGTTCTAAATCCCTTGCAGGGCTGCTTGCCATTTTGCAGATTGGTTACACTGAGGTTTACAGAGCACCCTTGTAATCCCTTTGGTTACTCTACCATCCAGGAAGAGTGCTGGCCACACGCAAGAATATTTCTGTTGTATTCTAAAATGTTTTGGTCATTTCCAGAGTGATTAGCCTGCCATTTTATCTTATGGGCACTGTGACTGTGTGCCCAGGCAGATGGAGGAGCCCTCCTGCCTTGCCTGGTGAGAAGATTGGAGGCAAATTTAGGCCTCCTCTGGAGCTGCAGTATTAGACTTTAGCTAAGAGTTTCCTACTGGCTTTCTGCCTGGTTCCGTTTTATTTATTTATTTGTTTATTTATTTATTTATTTATTTCAGTTGTCTTGTTTGAGTCAAGCTTCTGTAAATGTGCTTTCAAATTACAGGCAGGCAATACACAGATGACTAATTCTCATACTGTGCACACTTTGTCTTAGGTTTGATGCAAACTGTACAGTTGAAACACCAGCCCTGTGAATGGAGCCACCGCTGGACTTGAATTCCAGCCTTAACACTTAATAACTGTGGATTTTGGTCAAGTTCTTTAACCTTTCTGAGTTTCCTCTCTGTAAGATGAAAGTAGTAATCCATAATTCATTCAAGATGTCTTGGGGGATTAAATAAAATAACTCATGTAAATTACTTTGTGCATAGTAGGCATTCAATAAATGTCAGTTCACTTCTCCCAGTTAATAATGCTTATTACAGTATATTAAAAACTAGAACCAGACTGTGATACTGTATTTCTTTATTAAGTATTTAAGCCAAATAACTAATTCTCCCCCAGGGGAAGAGAAATGTTGAATTAATTTCATTTGTTAAACTTATTTATTAATCTTTTTCTTCAGCTTTATTTGGTTTCATAGTCGATCATTTAATTTTCATGCCACAAAAATGACACAATTTAGTATTCTTTTAAATTCTCTATGATAACATTGGTTCTTCTAAAAAATTACCTACTATCACAAATGCCATTTATTAGAGATCGTTATTAATTATATTAACAGCTTGGTTGCATTTTGTCACTATTTCTTGCTGACAAACTTTTGCCCTCCACAGTTTCCCTGAGGCCTGAGGGTTTAAGACAATCAAGTTATAAATGGCAATGTTACAGCCAAAGGGAAAAAATAAATAGCGGTTGGGCATAGGGATCCACACCAACTACATTCTTGCGTGTTAATTTTGCAGGTTTGCATTTAAGTAGAATCACGTTCTCCTCAAGGACGAAAGATAGTGAGCCAGCCAGGTGGAGGAAGTGGAAACTCAGCCAGAGCCAGTCTGCTATTGCACCTTTAAGGACTGGAGACTTGGTACTAGCTCGGCCTCTTTCCCGGCCCACCTCTGAACTCTGATTGACAGGGAGCCGGGAGGGGAGGAGCCGAAGGAGGCCGAAGAGGAGGCTCAGGGAGGGAAGTAGGGGGAGGAGGAGACCGTCTTTCCTCTGATGGCCAATCAGAGAAGGGGGCGTGGCTACAGGATCCCTCCTCCCTCCTCTCCCCCGCCTCCCGGCTTCCCCGCCCCCTCCCCTTCCCTCTTCCCTCTGCCCCCTCCCCTCTCCTCCTTCTCATCCT